GTGTGTGTGTGTGTGTGTGTTTAAATAGTTATGGGCGATTTCAGAGGGGTGTTTAAGTAAAGATTCCTGTCCATTTGTGAAATCTTTCATGATTGATTATGTCAGTTGATCAAGTTGGTGTTGACTTTTAGCAACCACATAGATAGATTTTCTCCATGATGATCTGTCCTAACCTGGTCCTTCAAGTCTTCTAATGATGCAGTCATCACCACCATAACTAATTCCATTCATCTTGCTGCTGGTCATCATCTTCTCTTTCCTTCTACCTTTAGGCATTAGAGCCTTCTCCAGAGAGCTATGTCTTTGCATAATGTAAAGTAGGATAATTTGAGCCTGGTCATCTGTGCCTTGAATGAGGTTAATTTGTTTGATGATCCATTGGTTTGTTTTTTTGGTTGTCCATAGTATTCTCAGGAGAATTCCCTAACACTAAAGTTCAAAAGTGTCAATACTCTTTGCATCCTGCTTCTTCAAAGTCCAACTTTCACTTCCATACAGTACCACAGGGAGTAACATTGCTTGCATGATTCTGATCTTTGTTGATATAGACACATCAAGGGATCCAAATATCTTTTCCAAGGCCTTCATGGATGCTCTACCAAGTGCTATGCCTTATTTCTTAACTGATTGTTCCTTTACTGTTGATGGTTGCTCCTAAAAGGCAGAAGCTATCTACCACTTCAATACCTTCATTGTCAATTCTAAGGCTGATTTTTCCAGCTGTTGTCATTAGTTTGATCTTTGTATTTAATTTTAGTCCCATTTTTTTCATTGTGTTCCTTGATTTTTATTTGAACTTGCAGATCATTTGTATTTTCAGCTATTAGAGTAGTGTCATCAGCATAGGGCAGGTTATTGATGTTTCTTCCTCCAGTTTTAAAACCACATTTATCTTCTTCCAATCCAGCTTCCCTTAATATATATTCAACATACAGGTTTAATAAATAAGAGAAGAGTATACAGCCTTGTCACACTCCTTTGCCACTCCTGGAGTCAGTCTGTTTCATCATATTCTGACTATACAGTGGCTTCCTGAACTGTATATAGGTTACTCATGAGGACAATGAGATGTTCTGGAATTCCCATTTTTTCTAAGCACATTTCACAGCTTAATGTGATTGACACAATTGAAGGCCTTTCTATAATCAATGAAGCACATATTGACATCTTATTAGTATTCTTTGGCTTTTTCAATTCTCCAGTGTGCATCAGAAATAATGCATTGTATTCCTTGGCCTTTTCTAAAGCCAGTTTAGTATCTCTTTTCTAGTATCTGGTATCTCTTTTTCCATGTAGGGCTTTAATCTGTGTTGGATGATTCTAAGCATCATTTTGCTAGTATGTGAAATTAAGGATATTATACAAAGTTTTCATACTCTGTTAAATGTCTCTTCTTTCTCTCTCTCTCTCTTTCTCTCTCTCTGTTTGGTACTAGAATGTGAATTGATCTCTCCCAATCTGTTGGCTACTGTGTCATTGTCCACATCTGCTGGCACAGCTTGGTTAGAACCTTAACTGATTCTTCTTCTGTTGTTTGCCGTATTTCTGTGGGCATTCCATCAGTTCCTGTAGCCTTCTGGCTTGGTAATAACCGGAGTGTTGATCTAACTTCATCTTCTAGTACTAGCAGTTCCTGTAAGTAGGAAATATTTCGTAAGGTATCTTGGATGTTGACATGTCTACTGTACAGTATTTCAGTATTACAGTACTCTTGCCATCTTTGTTTGATCTTCTTTGAATCAATTACTATCTGTCCATTGGTGTTGTTTAGCATACTGATTTGTGGTTGGAACCTCCTTTTGAGTTCAGAGATCTTTTGAAAGACTTTTCTTGTTTTTCCATGTCTGTTTCCATCTTCTAGGTCTTTACAGATGTTGTTATAATATGGCTTTGTGTCTGTTCTAACAGCTTTCTGGAACTCTTTGTTAAGTTCCTTCTTGATATTTTGGTCTTTCTTGGCTTTGGCTTCTGTTCTTGTCCTGGTGATTTCCATGGTTTGTTCTTATATCTAGTTTGCTTTATTCTTTTTCTTCATTTTTGGCAATCTCTTTTTATATTCATCCTTAACAACTTATTTAAGTTTATTCCATAATTCCTCTGATTCTCTATCATTGATATTCAGGACTTCAAAGTGATTCCTGATGTTCTCCTTGAAAATGGCAGGTATATGTTCAAGATTATATTGTGGAAACTGGTTGGCTTTGTTCTCCTTAACTTGGAACTTGCACATGAGCGCAGTTCACAGTCAGCACCTGGTCATGTCTTTGGTGCTATAATTGAGCTCCTCCACCTCCTTTTATCAATAATATAGTCAATTTGATTTCCATGTACTCCATCTGGTGATATCCATATATTCAGGCATTATTTTGGTTGTTTGAAGGCAGTGTTAGCTATGAAGAAATAATTGAGATAGCAGAAATTGGTGTCGGTCTCCTGCTTCATTTCAGTTTCCTAAGCTGTACAGTTATATTACATTTCCTCCTTTAATATTTACAACGTTGACATTCCAGTCTCCAATCACAAGCAGCACATCTTGCTTGCATGTTCAGTCAGTTTCAAATAGAATTTCATTATAAAGCTCATCAACTTCTTCTTCTTCTGCATCAGTGCTTTGATAAATCATCCATAAGCCTACATTTATACAGACGACGGTATGAGTGCTGTGATTATTGTCATTTGAACATGTAAACTGACTCAACTAGAAGATACTATGTTTAGAAATGACACAGGGCAATCTGATCTGTGATGGCTCATTCATAATGGACTGCAGCTACCAAGCATTGTGGATATATGTGTGAACCAGCTCAGTGTTTCATTATGTCCCAAATCAATCCTTATATGCTTAAGCATCAACTTCTTCTGAAAGGCTGGCAAAACAAAGCTAGGCAGAACTTTATAATTCCTTCTGAATTGGTTTGGTGACCATTAGTGCAGAAGTAAAGCATTCTGCTCCTGAATTTAATGTGAGAATGAAAAGTTGATATTTCAAAAATAAGTGGAAATCATATTTTGACATTTCATAACAGTCATATTGGACATTGGCTTGAAAACAAGTGAAAGTTTATAGTAGCTTTCCTTAACCAGGTGCCTTCCAGCTGTGTTGGACTATAGATATCATAATAGTTAAAAATATAAGAGTTTAACACATTCAGAGAGCATCAGTTTGACGAAGGCTGTATTAAAGCAATGTTGTACAAGCTTTGATTAAAGGTGATGGCTTTGACACTAGAAACCTACTTTCTCTCACTTACAGAAGTGTAAATGGATATACATCTGTTGAAGTGAGAAGACTGCATGAGGTTGAAGTAAGGAGGTGAGATTCTCAAGAGATATTTCATAGTTGGAATCAGTTGGGGACATAACCTGTTGTGTTGTGTTTACTCATCAATTATAAACTGTCCAGAAATCAATCAGCAATAGAATGATTAGGTCCTGGGACTTCATAATTTGTATTTTTTAAAAATAATATCCTGGCTTTCCATATCATTTGGAACTTTGGCAGCTTTTGCTAATATCCAATAGAAGATAATATATGTAGCTCATTGTTGATCTATGGAGTCCATGATGTTCTTTAAGCTTGATTGTTTGCTTGCAAACATTTTGTTACCTGACTAGGTAATTAATATCATCAGTGCAAGTGAGTGTGGGGTTTGCTCCCTGTTTATATACAGTAGCTTGCCCTGCTAGGTTTGGTGGGGGCATGGTTTTCTCCTTGGTAGTTCCTCAATTAGGATATTGTTTCCTACTTGATTGTTTGCTTGGTGTTAATCCCTGCTTATCTGGGCGTTGGCTACTGGAGAGGATGTGTTCTGTCTTTTTGTTTCCTTAGCTTTTTTATTGTCTCTTTTGAATAGTGTGTAAATATGGTTTATTTCTATGTATCCATTGATGGCTGATTTGTCTGAATGCCAAGTTCCAA